AAATTTAGTGCGCTCGTGTTGATATCAGTTATATTTACAGGGCTTTGAATATCCCGCATAAAGAAATTGTCTGGATCTTCCACTTTCATGTTGTTTATTGGAGTGCTAAACATGTCCTCATACTGCTTTTTTAGGATTTCCCTAATTTCTTTGTCATCCTCCGTGTATGAACCTTCACTTGTACAAATAGGTCCAATACTGGCAGTGGTTTTTGCTTTTGATTTCGCATATGTGAAGAAATATTTTGGATTTTTCTTTATTTCCTGAATTGCTTTCTGTTCTAACTGCCTTTCTTCAGTTTCAATTTCCGCTCGATTTCTTCAATCTCCCTATTTAAATTATTCCTTCTTTGATGGGAAATTCGTGTCTGCATAAGCAGTTCCGTTATTTTCTTCCTGCGTTTATAGTGTCATCTGCGTTCTCTTTCTACGTTAGATCTCTTTCTGGCTTTCCTCAAAGGAACATGTTTCAGACAGACTTGATACGCTTCTGAAGTCAGTTTTTCTATTCCTTCTGTAGGACTTGTATTACTTAGAACAGTTTCCCATGGAATGTTTGTAAGTTCCCTGTTTATTATCTCCCAGTCTATCCTTTTATTATTAAAATTGAATTTACTGAATAGCCCCTCTTGCTTTATCAACGTTTTAGGTCTATTCTGAGTATTGATGGTCGTTTGCACTTCAATGAGTTTGTGATCTGAGTATGTAGTATCTGATATCGTAATGTCTCTGATAATGTCTTCATTGTTCGTAAAGACCAGATCTAAAATATTTTCATTTCTCGTTGGCTCCGATATCTGCTGATTGAGTGAAAATTTGTCACAGAATCTAAGTAGTTCTCTAATCTGTGGTTGGTTAGGTCCCGATAGATTTCCTGGTATAATATTATTGTTTGCTATTCTCCACCTGAGACTAGTCAAGTTGAAGTCACCTAGGAAGATAATATCAGGTATCGGGTTCTCCAAATAATCAAGGCTATTCTCTATTTTGTTTATCTGTTCCTCAGCCGTTGCATCTGGCGGTTTGTATATTAGAATAATCACTAAATTTATTTTCTCTATTTTTAATCCCAGTACCTCTACCACCTCATTTGTAACGTTTAGGAGCTCTGAGCATACAAGGTCTTCCCTAATATACAGACCCACTCCTCCATGTGACCTAATTTTCCTATCACACCTGTATAGGTTATATCCTGGAATCCAGATCTCACTGTCCAACAATTTTCCTGCATGGGTTTCTGTGTAAGCTCCAAATACTGCATTTGACTCCGTGAGGAGGTCATTTATGAACTGTACTTTGTTGTTTGTTCTTGTTTTCAGTCCTTATATGTTGGCAAAGATGAATGAGGTTACTCTATTAGTGATAGTTTGAATGGGAGACTTTTTCGGCAAGCCCATTATGCGTGGACATAATGAGTTTGTTCTGACCAGTACTGATTGTTGTCGGGCAGTTGTCTGTCGTAGTTGTAGTTCCCTTTCGGTGGGTAATTGTATCTGTAATTCTGGAATGCAAGTGGATCTGGCAACCAGTTCCATACACTCTCCATGCTCCTCCTTTTGAATTCTCTTTCGGTCTGGTATAAAAAATTTATAGAGTTTCCAACAAATTCATTATCCTGCTTGCCGCTCTTTATGTAGCGTTCCGTGCCTTTCACGTGAAAGTGTGGGTAGCTGAGGTCATAGCATTTTCTGTGCTCCAGTGAGATTTGGCACATGTCAGGATGGAAAAACCTACATATTGATCCAAATCGACACTCATCTTTCCTAAGCATATTTAAACATTTTTTGGGATGTTGGTAACTGCATTCTAATCCTTTCTTATTACCAGCATATCTATGTCTGCATATGCCCTTTGCATAAAATTTGCATAAGTCTGTCCTTCTGTTCTGAATTGCTCTATCGGGAACCGTCGTAGTGTCTGTACCTATCGAGCTGTCAGTGCTGTCTGTTACACTTTCTAGTTTACTGTCATCTACATCCGGGCCTATTGAGTCAGAGTTTACAACTTGGTGAGTTTCAGCCTCAGTTTCATCCCTGACTATAGCCTCCGCCCCTGGTATATTAGAATTGTTGTTGTTCCTTTCCCACTCCTTCTGGATGGCTGGTAGGCTTCCAATGAATGATGTTTTCCGATCATGCATCATGTTATCTAGAAGGTTTTTTAGGATATTCCAAGCTGGCAGGTCATTTTTACACACCCAGAGCAAGTGACCAGCTCTCAGTGCCGTAGTGTTACTCATAGCTTTGGTTTCTGACCAGTGGGCCCATCCTCTTCCTGCTATTCCATCTGCCCCATCTTTCTCTTGTGAGGCTGGGGCTTTGGAGGATGACTCAGCCCTGGGGCCTAACGTGGGGGTTTCCAGGGTTGGGGAGGAGCTCTCTTGGGGGCCTTGGGCCCCCAAGAGAGCTTACTGTTACAAGGAGTGGGGTTTTCATTTTCTCCCCATACTTGGATTTGGGTTCGGCTCCTCCCCGGGTTCAGTTCCATGTCCCTGCGGATCCTTCGGTTCCTTCCATCCAGAGGTTTTTGGCTTCTCGCATCTCTCTGGCTGAGGTGCGGGTGGCCATTGTGGCTTACCTCCTGCGCGACCCGGATTATGCCTTTATAATGAATCCGTCTTCTTTCAGGTTTGGGTCTCCGTCTCCATACTGGATTCATTATGAGGTTCTGTAGTCATCCTGGCTAGCGGACTGCTCTATGTTTTCACTGGATGCTTGGGACACCTTCTTTCGTACCCGCACGCTTGAGTGGCGTGAGGCATTGACTGTGGTCCAGGTTTACCTGGGGGAGACTTTGCACACCATAATATGTGCCTCTTCGCTCTGGCACTTCTGAGGGTTGCTGGTGTGGTTCAGCTTCATGTCCAGGTCCCCTCCTTTTCAGCAGCGCTTGTGGCTGAGGACTTGCACGCATGAGGTTCGTTGGCTTCAGTCCCGTGTTTATTTTCCCTAATTGAGCTGTCTTCGGATTGGCTTACGGAGGATGTAGAGGCACTTGGGGGCCGTTCCTGGCGCCTTGGCCTCAGCTGCTCATGCGTCGTCTGCACTTTTGAAGCTGTTTACGCCAATCCTGCGGGATGTGCTGTTGCGTTTTTTCATTGTGAGTCTCGCATGTCGGCAGGTAGTGCTCGCTTCCTCCTTGGAATCCGCTTGGGCCCCTGGCTCTTAGATTGTCTTCGTCCTTTTGTCCTTTGTTGTTTGTTGCTTCTGCAGTCGAACAGTATATGCAGGTGGTCTCTTCCAGCTGCCGCTCGATGTCTGACCTGTTGGTTCTCTGGGGGTCCAGGGTGGGTTCTTCCCGGAGGGTTTGTACCAGGGCCCACAGTTTTGCCCATCGAGGTGGGCCACAGGCACCAGTTTCAGAGCAGGTGCAACCTTCAGTCCCAGCTGTGCCTAGTTGGCGCGGTGCTCGCTCTGTGAACAGGTCGGGTTCTTGAAAGGGGCGTTAGCCCTTTCGCAGTTCGCTTTATTGACAGGGCGATGGGGAGGAGGCTTGCTCTGTTTGCTCATGCCTGGTCCCACGATTCATAGGCTTTTCAGGTCGTTTCTTGCGGCCTTCGGTGGCGTTGGGTGGCTTCTCCTCCGTCGGGGTGTTCGAGGCTGGCCCTCCCTGCCTCTCCTCCTCAATGCCTCCCTCTATTAATCCCTGCACCCACTCCCTCCCTCTCTCCCTCAGGTTGGTATCCAAAAATATTTAGTTTACGACTCTGGACGATTGAGGTCAGTGGCTTGTTTCCATGTGAGGGCCCACCGATGGCAAAACAAACCCAATACCGACCTATGGTTAAATCGACTTCTAGACCATTATATGAAGCTCCAGATACTGGTCTCCCAAATTGATCGATGGAACCGGCAGATCGGTAAATAAGAGGTCGTTAAATTGAGTGGATACTGAAGTTTCCTGGGGGTTCTTTTGGCACTTTTTGTCTCTTCGTAGAATGTCTTCAATTTCTGATTGGGTTGTTTCAGGACCTTCATCTTATGCCAAATACTGTCATCTCATATCATACGGCAGCCCATCCTCCAAAAATGGGGAGGTAAATGTAACAGCACAAATTAGTTCAATTATGTACTATTCATAGCAGTCAGGAATTGTACTTATTTTCACTTAGTATTAAATCGTACTGTCAAATATATTGTGAATATTTGAGTTTTCCTGAAAAGCTGAATAGAAAACAACGACCTCACCTAACCGTCTTAGTGTTTGAAGATAAGCATTTTATTGTTTCTTAATTATAATTAGTACTTAACCTATAGCTATATTGATTTTACAATTTTATAAAACTAATAAAACAAAACTAAAATATATCAATAAATTGTAAAGTAACTCGGGATATTTTCAAATTTTGTATAAAATTTCTATTGTTTAATAAAACTGAAAAATAAATTCCTGATATTTAAAACTTGTGTATAGCGAATTGAACTTGAAAACTTCATCCTAAAATTTTAAGTGTCTCAACAGAAAACGAGGAGAATAAATGGGGAGGTAAATGTAACAGCCCCATAAGTGCAATTATGTACTACGTATGACAGTAAGGAAATGTGCTTATTACACTTAGTATTAAACCGTACTGTCAATTCGGAGGATGGGCTGCATACGGCGCTGGAGGAGCTGCTTCAATTTGCGCTTGGGGCAGATGTTACTTCTCACTCTGTTCTATCTGTTCTATAAGATATCTCATGCACACCCAGAAAATGGCATTTCATTACATTCAACGATGGTTTTTTGGGTGTGTGGAACAGATTACAGGTAATTCAATTTCACATTATTTCTTATGGATAAATTCATTTCAGTTTACAAATTTTTGGGTTATGAACCATCTCTGGGAACGGATTAAATTCGAAAACTGAGGTTTCACTTTATATGATGTACTCAGTTCAGCGACATTTACTCAAATTGTATATATACAATTTGTGCAGCATGGAGTTAATTGAAAGTGTTTCACTGTAAACATTTGTCATATGTATTTGAACTAAGTTGTTTCCTTCTTTGCTCACACAGATTACAGTAGAAGGAAGAGAATATCAGACAGACCACATGACTAATGTCACCCCGCATCTCCTCTCTCTCGTTGGAAGAAGTCTCCACATGCAAAAATATCATCCCCTGAACCACATCAGCCAGCGAATAGTGCATTACATGTACCAGAGATACGTCTCATCCCGTGGCAACCCGCTCTTTTCTGTTCACAACAACATCCATCCGGTTGTAACTACTCATCAAAATTTTGACTCTTTGCTCATTCCCAAAAATCATGTTAGTAGACAGAAATCTGACAACTATTACATTAATGAAGGTCACCTTCTGCGCGCTCACACAAGTGCTCATCAAGTAAGTGTTTAGATAGAAATTTCTCATGTTTTATTACCTAAGTGTGGTTACAGGATTAGAGCTATGCTCCTGGTGTCCCATCTTCCCATTACTTTTTGTTATATGACACTTTAAAACTTAAGATGGTTTTTCCCTCACCACCTTGTTCCAACCATCTACCACTCCTGTTTGCAAAAGTACATTTTTTAATGTTTTTGTCAGCCTTGTTTCCTTCCGTTGAACCTATGTTCTCTTATTCTTGAAGTTGCAATTTTCTAAAAAACTGTTGTCAGTTTTGTTGATTCCTATTACTATTTGTAGTGATAATATCACTTCTTTTAATATATCTTCTGGCCTTAGTATATTTAATGCCTCTAACCTCTCTTCGTAGCTCTTGTTTTCAGTTCCGGAATCCATTAATCTGCATGTCTTTTCACTTTTTCAAGTTTATCGATGTGCTTCTTGAGGTATGGATACCATACCACCGCTGCATATTCCATCTTTGGTCCCTTACCTTTAGGTTACCTTGAGGGTTAACTTGAGGCCTCTTCATTGCTGGACTGGTCAACCAGGCTGTTGGATGCGGCTGCTCGCAGCCTGACGTATGAGTGACAGCCTTGGTTGATCAGACATGGATGGTCTAACAAAAGTTGTGAATAATTTCTTTATCCACTGCACTGCGCAACCTTCTTTGAGACGCTAGGTCAGTGGTGCGCAATGCGCCCCAGGGCGCTCGTAGGTATAATGTGCGATTCAAAACTGTTGGGTACAAAATGGATGGCTGAGGCCTCCAGTGATTGTCTGCTGTTTTGAAAAAAATCTCAGCATGCCCCAGGGCCCGGGGGACCCTCAGTTTCAAGGAAGCAACCATGTCTGACACATCGTCTATGAGCTCCCAGTCCACGGTCAGCCGCTGTGCTGCAAAATGACTCTCAGAGGAGGAAATATGGAACATATTGCATGATGAACTGCTTGTTGATGATTTTGTCTACAGTCCAGAAAAAGACGTAACACAGAGGCCTGACAAGTGAGGGGGGGAAGAATGAGTTGCACGATGTCAAGAGAGAGTGTACTGTATGCGCGCCTCGCCCCAGCCTCCCACGCCGCCCTGGGTCAACATTGCTAGAGTTACCATCACCATCTGTGTCACCTGACGTGAGTTTATTTGGTGATACTACATGTAATGAGTCATATTTGAGCTTCAGTGACGACATAGGCTCAGATACAAGCAGTATTGTCGAACCGAGTGCAAGCGGCTATGTTGTTACTAGGTGAGGTTTTGCTTCTCCAGCACCTCACTGAGGCAAGCGCCAGCGTGTCACGCGGCCCGAGGAAAATGACGACAGTGCGCCCTCGATATCAGGTGTTCATGGTAAGCCTTTACTACGCAGAAGAGCCACAGGTGTTGGCACCTGTAATTACCTAAGTGTAGTTACAGGATGAGAGCTACGCTCGTGGTGTCCCGTCTTCTCAGCACTCTGTCATATAACGCTTTGAAACTACTGACGGTTTTGGCCTCCACCACCACCTCACCTAACTTGTTCCAACTGTCTGCCACTCTGTTTGCAAAAGTGAATTTTCTTATATTTCTTCGGCATCTTAGTTAATTAGTTTAAATCTATGACCTCTTGCTGGTGCTCACCAGCACCATGACCTCTTTCTGGGCTGGTGGTGCTCGTGCTGGTGCTGCCCATGGTGTTGGCGTCAAAACCAAAAACACAGGTGTACTCTTCTGGCATGATTGTGAGAATTTTGTCCCACAAATTCCAACATTTAAAGATACCGATGTTGGTATGACACCCATATTCCAATATACTGATGATGATATGATTGAAATTTATTATTTTATGTCATATTTCGATCAGGAATTGTGGACCATCTCGTTGCAGAGATGAATGGATATGTTCAGGAACTCATTGACTCTGGAATTTTACCTGCTTCTCGATTGACACGTTGGAAAGACACAGCTAATGAGGAAATATGTGTTTTTAGCATTGTGCATGATGATGAGGCATTCAGATAAACTCATGATCCAGGATTATTGGAGCAAAGACAGCCTTGTTCCATCCCCCGTGTTCAACAGGTACATGTCACGTGATAGGTTCCTGCTGCTTCTCAGGTGCCTGCACCTTGAGAACAATGCTAGTGAAGACAGCCACATCAGACTGTGGAAAGTGTGGAAGATATTTAGTGATATGAGAGGAAAGTTCTGTGACTATTTTGTACCAGGACAGAATGTCGTGATGATGAATCACTAGTCCTCTTCAAGGGATGACTGGTGTTCAAGAAGTACATTCCATCAAATTGGCATTGATTTGGACTCAAGTTTTTCGTGCTATGTGACTGCGAAACTGGTATAGTCATGGACATGATACTGTATTCGGGTACAGACGTTGACATACCAGGTCAAGATCTACATGGGTTCTCAGGCAATGCCGTTAAAACACTCGTGGAATCATTGCTGAACACGCAGCATATCCTGTACACTGACAACTACCACACCAGCCCCTTGCTCACCAGATTCCTCCTTGACCACAACACTGGCATATGTGGCCCTGTCAAGGCCAACAGGAGGGAAATGCCAGTGTCTGGCATTGGTATTGCAGTGGGTGAATGCCAGCTGCGAAAGTGTGAACAAATGTTATCAGTGTGCTGGAGGGACAGACGCGAGGTGAATATGTTGACGACTTCACACCAGAGCCATGTTGGACAGTGGCAGAGTGAACTTTACAACAAGATTGCCAATGTGTAAACCTGAGGTGTCATTGACTATAATGTAAATATGCGGCTAGTTGATAAATGTGACATGATGGTTGGTGCTGTGTGTGCGAAAATCTGTGAAGTGAAGGAAGAAATTATTTTTCCACCTCATTGACATTGCAGTGCTGAACTGTTTCAACATGTATCTCCAGAAATCTGACAAGAGACCCCCCCCCCCCCAATATGTACATTCAGTGTTGCTCTAGTGTCACAACTACTGAAGTATGAGGGGGAGGGCTGTATTGCAACATGTGGGGTGGCAGCAACAATGCCTCACGCAGTTCCTGACAGACTCAGGAGTAAAGAATACCTTTCTGTACACAAGCTTGGTTATATGCCAGGCACAGGCACATGGGACAAGGGTAAATGTGCCTGCATTGTTTACAAGAACATACAACGTAGGGAACGCAAGTGAAGATCCATCTGCACCTGGTGTGTTGAGTGCAAAGTTCCCCTATGCCCCGTTGACTGCTTCGCTGATTATCCATCCCGTTCTCGCACTTTCTTTAAGTCAATATTGACTTATTAAATAAGTGCATATGTGACATACTAATTTATTGTGAATATTTTAGTTTACCTTGAAAAGCTTCATAGAAAACACCGACCTTACCTAACCTTCTTAGTATGTTAAGATAAGCATCTTATTGCTTCGTAATTACAATTATTACTTAACCTATTATAGGTATAGGTTAAGTATTAATTGTAATTACGAAGCAATAAGATGCTTACCTTAACCCTTAAAGTGTGCATCACGTCATATGATGTGTTGGACGTTGTTCCAGTCAACTGCGCTTCACGTCATATGATGTGTTGGAGTACTACGCAAGATTTAAACGGCCCGCGGATACACGGGATTCACCACACCTTCATCAGGGCTCTTGTAAACAGACGGCATTTTTTTTAAAAATCGTGGGCCAAACTCCCGGGTGTTATTGGCCTCAGTATTGAGTGAGCAACCAAGCCTGACGCACGCAGCATGAGCTAACAGCACTACTGTTCAGCTTGTGACCACAGCATCGCCTAAAAATGCCAAAATATACTTGTTCATGCTATTATGTAGCGATATTATTACAGAAGACCCCTGACTGATAAAACTGACCAGGGTTCTGATAATAGCAGGATCGTGGTGATATTTAGCGCTGTGCGCCATGGAGGGAGGAGTAATGCTGTGGGAGGGAGGGTGGTGGCAATGTCTTCTGACTGTGTGTGTGTCCACCTGTTATTGAGTGCACTCACCATACCAGCTTAGTGGTTCGCTATGGTGAACACAAATGTAGATATTTATATATAACGTGTGTGTGTATAGAGGGTATAAACAGCAAGAGAAGGTTGGGAGCCGCCATTTTGGTGAGGGCAGTGGCGTCGTCTGCATGACGCCACCGTGCAGACTACGGTGTTATTTACTGGTTACCACGATGGTCTTTGGGCACCTTACCAGATTATTTGTACAAGTATGGTGAATAAAACAGGTAGATATTTATATATAATGTGTGTATATAGCATAATAACACCACACAGTATTGTTGGAGGAGAAATATTAGTGCATCTGGCCTTGAGGGCGGCAGCCATCAGCTGACTGAGTGAGGTCCTACGTCTTTGTGCCTTTACTCACCATACAAGCTTAGATGTACAGTTATGGTGAACAAAACATGTAGATACTTATATATAACGTCTGTATATAGTGAATAAAAGCAAAAACAGTAAGGTGGGAGGAGAATGTGGGCGAGCGAGGTGTTGAGGGAGGACGTGAGTGGCTAGCTGGTACATGGCGGTCACTCCTTGTTACTTTTTGACTCATAATACCAACTTAGTGGTTCGTTATGGTGAACAAAACATGCAGATACTTATATATAACCTGTGTATATAGTGTAATAACCGACAAAGTATTTGTTCCCTGTTTGATGAACATAATTGAATCAACAATATGCACACCATATTTTTGAGTACAGCGATGATTCACTCATTTAATTATATAAATATATCACACTGCACACTATTGAATAATATTACAGCAAAAAAACTACGAAAAATCAATCAGAGACATTGAAATAATTAGGTAATTATCTCTTTGTGGCAACTCCGGCCTGACAGCTGGCGAGCAACAGACCGCCTGGGACGCACGCTGAGTCAGCGCCTATTTTTTGGCAGACTTCCCCGCCCTATAGCGGGCAATACCTGTATATGCCACTTACGATTTTTTTATTATTTTTCCCGTGATCAGTGAACACAAATTAACAGGTTAGGAAGAAAAAATATATATT